TTTTTTTTTAAAGATTTTATTTATTTATTCATGAGAGATACAGAGAAAGAGAGAGAGAGGCAGAGACACAGGCAGAGGGAGAAGCAGGCTCCATGCAGGGAGCCCGACGTGGGACTCGATCCCGGGTCTCCAGGATCACGTCCCAGGCTGAAGGCGGCGCTAAACCGCTGAGCCACCCGGGCTGCCCTCTGATTTTCATTTGGGGGTTCACAGAACATGGTACAAGAAGCTGGCCTCAAGAAACCCATAACTGATATTGTGGTTGTCTCACTAACATTCATTTCATCCCGCTCTGAGCTCACACACGCTGAAGCTCGGTCGTATTTGGTACCCACACTGCTCTGCTCAGCTACATACTCTGCGCGGGTGGGGCTGATTGGTCTATGGCGATAGTGGTTTTCCTATTCCCCTTCCCAGGGATTGGTTTAGACAGGCTTCTGGGAAAGATTTTCTCATTCCAAATAAAAGACATACTGGAAAAGACGATCTCTTTTCCTGGGCATGGCTATGTCCAAATGTGGAGGCTGGCACTGGGGTCGCCACCTTGTGACAATGAGAGGGAGGCTAGTACAGAGGTGCAGCCTGCCCACCAGGGTGACAGAGCAGCGGGATGTCTTTGAGTCATGGAATTATCCTAGAGCTGTCCTAGCCTTGGACTTCCAGGTGTTTCCTTGCTGTTTAGCCAGATGAATTTGAGATTCTTTTGTTTTCTGCTAAAAACATTCTGACTGATACTGAACTTATATGTGCACTTTACAAAAAAAATGATTTTATTTATTCATGAGAGACATAGAGATGCAGAGACACAGGCAGAGGAAGAAGCAGACTCCCCATAGGGAGGCCGATGTGGGACTCGATCCCGGGTCTCCAGGATCATGACTTGAGCCAAAGGCAGACACTCAACCGCTGGGCCACCCAGGTGCCCCTGCACCCTTCTGATTCAAGGTTTAAGCTCTCTGTATTCTACTACTGAATGCTATAATGTAACGTCTCCGTGGGCTCCCCAGAAGCAGATTCTGACATAGGAGTTGGAGGGTAGATGATTTATTGAGGTTGTGATCTCAGGGCAAGCCAGTAAAGGAGGAGGGAGATAGAATAGGAAAAGGGAGTAGTCTCAGGCAAAGTCTATCCTCGGTCTGATCCATAGGAGGTTCTGGATCTGTGTAGTCTTATATGGTAACCACCACCTACATGTACCTATTTACATTTAAAGGAATTAAAAGGAATTAAAGTTTAAAATTCAGTTCCTTGGTCTCCTTGCCCTATTCAACCAGTGGCTCCCACGTTGAATAGGGCAGACAGAAACATTTCTGTCACCACAGAAAATTCTACTGGACAATTATGTGTAAATTATAACACACAGTTGCCCTACCTTGATGCCTCTGCACTGCAGTTTTGGTCAATCATTGCTGTCTGGTAGGGAGTGGTGACATAACCCCTCCACAAAGATCCCAGGAGGTGGCTCCTATCAGCCAAGGGCAATTCCCCAGGGCAGAGCACAGAAGGTCACAGCACCTGTAGCAGCAGCACCCCCAGCAGCTCCAGATTGGCCATTGGGTAAAGGAACCTAAGGGAAGTACCAACAATGACTACTACCATGGTGTCAAGCAGGCATGAGCTGAGATGCAATACTTTTGACAGAGTGATTAGGGAACCCCCTTCCCTGCTATTCCAGAATCAGGGAATTTACAATCTCCTGGAATTACTACTAGGGAGCACCTTTGTTCCATATCAACCCCAGGTTCAGATGTGTACCAACTCCAGAGATACTCAGATTTCAGGGGGAACACTGGCGGCTCAGAGAGCAGCCTCTAAGAGAGAAAGACACATGGCCCAGTGAGTAAGACCTAGAAAAAGTGCCCTATGTCAAAGAGGGGTGGTGACTCTGTGCAGAATGTGGAGCTGCTACCAGAACTGCTTCAACTAGCCTCTGTGCCCCACTAGAAAGAAAGCGGGGGTATAAATTATTATTAAGTGCCCATTATGCTTCTATAATACATCTTCCTATGTTTTACATCTGTCTATTCTGTTTACCTCTTTATATGACACCAACTTTGTAATGCCATCTTGTATAAAAAGAATAGAAAATAATTAAGTCTTTCATCTTGCATGGTTTATCAAAATGTCTTATTATTGCAGCTTTAGAAATGCTTCTTTGGGGCACCTGGGTGGCCCAGTGGTTGAGCATCTTCCTTTGGCTCAGGTCATGGTCCTGGGGTCCTGGGATTGAGTCCCACATCAGCCTCGCAGGGAGCCTGCTTCTCCCTCTGCCTATGTGTCTGCCTCTCTCTCTTTGCCTCTCATGAATTTTTTTTTAAATTTTTATTTATTTATGATAGTCACACACACAGAGAGAGAGAGAGAGGCAGAGACACAGGCAGAGGGAGAAGCAGGCTCCATGCACCGGGAGCCCGACGCGGGACTCGATCCCGGGTCTCCAGGATCGCGCCCTGGGCCAAAGGCAGGCGCCAAACCGCTGCGCCACCCAGGGATCCCGAATTTTTTTTTTTTTAAAGAAACACTTCTTTTAGCTCTACAGTTTGTTAGGGAAAGTGACGCATCCTTACCTTCCTCCTCATTTCCTTGGTCGGAGTTAATTCTTCCCTAGGGGAAGTCCTCAGATAACACAAGCATGGAATTTCACTCTCCTTGACCTCCCAATAGCTGCTGTCGGAGTGGCTGGTCTAGCTTAGGTCAGATCTTCACTGCCCTGAGGACCTATTCCATCTGATAGTTTGGCCCCGATGGCAGGATGGTGGTGGTAGGTGGTGGTGTGGGAGGAGGTGGCCTAAGCCAGTCATAGTAACCCCTGAGCAGAAAGCAGAGGAGCTTTTCTTTCAGATATTTTTCCTTGGGTCAAAGATAGAATCCAGAGACTAAACGATGGTAGTGATGTTCTACTCATATTCCCTCAGTGAGCATCAGCCCAACTTCCAACTGTGGGCACCTGCAACTTTGTCTTAGGGCTGTTCTCTGGCCACTGATGCCCATTTTGTTCATGTGTGTGGTGGGCTGCGGGTGTCCAGGAATTGCTGTCCTTCCGCTCACCAACCCTCACTCCTCACTAGTTTTCAACCAATGATTAATGTAAGTTAGTATATAATACCAACGCTCCTCATCCCTTGGATAGGATACTTAAGCATGAGTCTACACTGGCTCCGAGTGCCCCATGATGACAGTCATCCTCATGGTAATTGGCTTGATAATGTCTGAACTCCCTTTATTTGACTGCCTTTCCCATGCTGTCTCACTTCCCCTCTTACTGGTTTTGTTTTGTTTGCTCCTAAAATGAACTGTTTGCATTTGAGTCATTGTATCAGTATGTGCTTCTGGGGGAACCCAATGACAATCCTAGGAAAAGTCCACCTGGCCAGTTATCACTGGGAACCACTGCCCATCCTGAGCCCTAGAACAATCATCAGGTTACAAGAGCTAGAGTAGAATGCCTTGTTTCTACTTCTGCTGAACAGTTAGTTTTATTCTGGAGTGAAGATTATTAGCAAATGTATAAGACATTCAACATGCTGCTTGCTCCTATCATTTTTTTTCCCCATCACTCTTTCAGTTTTAAAGCTGATACTTTGGGGATCCCTGGGTGACGCAGCGGTTTGGCGCCTGCCTTTGGCCCAGGGCGCGATCCTGGAGACCCGGGATCGAGTCCCACATCGCGCTCCCGGTGCATGGAGCCTGCTTCTCCCTCTGCCTGTGTCTCTGCCTCTCTCTCTCTCTCTCTCTGTGGGACTATCATAAATAAATAAAAATTTAAAAAAAATTTAAAAAAAAAGCTGATACTTTGTTCTCCAACTCCTGTTGTTTATCTCTTAGTTGGCTCAGAACTTGAAATGAGAGTACGAGGTTATTAATTGAGTCTCCTGACTCCTGTTGCAATAAGCATAGTAGGAAGGTAGCAATTCAGGATGAGCAAAATCCAGGTAGACAGGTCAGAGGGTGGCTAGGTGCTGGCCACCGGCCTGAGGGGAGGAGCAAATCTACAGTCCAGAGGGGAGGAGGCATACCAAAATAAGAATTCAGGAAAAGAGACAAGGCAAAAGCCCAATAATCAGAGCATTTGGGGATGCTGGGGATGTGATCCTGTTGATGAGACCAGAGCTCATTTATCAGAACTGGATCACTACAACCAGAGTGGGGTAATATCATCCCTGCTGATGCATAGCTTATGGGGCCTGAGCTAGTCAGATGCTTCCTTTATCAGTCTACGATGAAGCCTGGGGGCAGGAGGCTGGGCTGAAGCTGTGAGCAGAAGAGAACCAGCAAGGAAGGAAACAGGCCAGTACTGATCCATTCTGTAACTGGATATTGAAAAGACTAGCTCGATTCTATCCCTCTTGTTTGTAATGGGGCAATACTGTGCTTTGTTAAGCCATGGAGAGGAAAATGCCATTCTTTTGTCTCTTTTCTCAGATTTTGCAGACTTTGACCTTTGAAAGCTCTCTTGCTTATCTTGTATCTTTCATCTTCTCTGTCAAGGCTCATGAATCATGAGAGGACCTTGGCTGCTCTAAATGACTTCAAATCTCTCTGGTTCCAGATAAGTTAGAGAGCAGGTATACAGGTCAGGGCTCTGAGTTACAAGGGATAGGACCTAGGGCGTCTTGGACTGGAACTGTGGACTTGCTGCCAATAGGACACTCTCGCTCCATCCAGTTCTCAACACCCTTTGTCCCGCTTTTCTTCACATGTTCATCTTACTCCCTCTGCGGGTAGGCCTTTCTGACACCTTTAATCCACCATCCCCCAGCACCTTTCATCCCCAAGTTTACTGATGTCAGCAGAAAGAGGTCTGTGCATCACTTCCTGGGAAGGACACTCACAGGTTCTGCCTAGATCTTATGCCCATTTCATGGCCCAGCATATAACAGGCAATCAGTAAGTATTCTTGAATGAATGAATGAATGAATGGAGTTATCATGGCACATGTAGCAGAAATATAGCTCCATTGTTATAAATTAATACATTTTAGTTGATGTCTCCATCTCCAGATACTGGTTTATGGGCATGCACTTGCTTCTGAGAGCTGTCTGCACTCAGTGTGTTGAGGAAACAGTTTCTGAGCCTGCAAGATTGAGAGTTTTGCTAAATTCAGCAAGGTAAGTAAATGCCACCCTGGGGGGTCTCCTGGACAAAAGCCTGTTCTACTTTCTCAGATATCAGCCTGCTCTATGCTGTTGATAGAATTTATGCCTGTCGCTGTTTGAATCTCTACCCTGAGAACTACACAAGGAACGTAGTTTTCAAATTTATGTTCAGGGGCACCTGGGTGGCTCAGGTCATGATCCTGGAGTCCCAGGATCAAGCCCTGCATCAAGCCTCACAGTGGGCTCCCTGCTCAGTGGGGAGTCTACTTCTCCCTCTGCCCCTCACTCCACTTGTGCTCTCTCTCTCACTCTCTTAGATAAATAAAATCTTTTAAAAAACCAACCCTTATCTTCACGATATCACTGCAAAGTGACTGTCAGATAAGGTCTTATTGTCTCTGCTCAATAACTAGGAAAATCTAAGCATATATTGGGTAGGTTGGTGTTTTCCAGGATTTCTTTCTCAGAATGTGAGCCCCCTGAGTATCCACGGAAAGGGGATTCATAGTCAATAATGATTAGGAAACCTCTGATTGACTTACAGTGCATGTTAGTATATTAAAGGCTCTGAAAGAAAGTATAGTTATGAAACCTATATGAACTGAAATCTTTCTTACATTGAACAAAAATGATTTTACAGAATGATTGGATGCTAAGCCTCCTACTTCTACATCTACCTTCTCTTGTTCCCTGTTTTCCTAGATGATCTCTTTCCACCTAAAACCAGTCCCTTCATCTATGCCCAGCATCTTATCCCCTCCCCCATCCTCAGGACTCTCCTTTGCTTTTTTTGCTACAAGAAAGCCCTTATTGTTTCCATTTAGTCCAGGGTTTGGGAGAGGGCTACAGGGTGGTTCAAGAGCTTCTTTGTAGCTGCAGTGAAGCTCATGCAGAAGCCCTGACACAGGGGGACACCAATGAGGTCCCTTAAGGGCTGCTGAGGCCCCAAGGAACCTAGTTGTGCCTGCAGGTGAGTCTTATAGAAGAGATACTCACCCAGCCCAGTGTGGGGGCCAGCCAGCCCTTGGAGATATGTCAAGCGGTTGACCATCTTCTTGATGAGTTTCACCTCCTCATCTAGGAAGTGGTTCTCTGGGAAGTTACAGAGCTGAGGGTCTGCGTGGGAGAATGCACGGCATGCAGATTCAAAAGGGCATGTTTCAGTTTCATTCCTGGATCACAGTAGCTAGCTCCCTTGGTGTCCAGGGTTTTACCCCACTTATCCTGGGGCAGCTTCTGCGTGTCCTGGAAGAGGGCATGGCCCCCACCTTCATGGTTCTCCTTGGCCAACTCCAGGAATAAGTGGTCCATGTCCTTCAGAACCACATCATTGGGTTGAAATAGAAGCCCAGAGAGAGAGAGATAGGGATGGGAGACCCACAGATGGATGTTGACAAGTGGTTGACAGTGGCCTCCACCTTGATGGAATAATTCTGACAAATCTGGGAGTTCCTGGTTGGTTGCCAATAAAAAGCTATGCACACACACACACACACACACACACAAACACAGGTGTTCACTGATCCCAGAGGCAGAGAATGACTGAGACAATGGGACAGCTGGAAGAGAGGTTGGAGGGTGGTTGGAGGCTGAAAGAAGTCATGTCCCTGGGTCCCATCCAAACACTTAAAGCAAGAGACAGATCCAGGGGACCATCCGGATGCACCACCTCTTGTATCCCTTTATCTGTTTTTGGATCAATACATTCTCACTCCTGGATCTTTCCAATCAGCATTTACACAAACTCAAGGGCCTAAATCCTTGCTTTCAATGTGGTCAATGAACCAGCATTCTCAACATCATCCAGTTGATGGTAAGGTAGACATTGGGCAGTCATTGGTCTCATCTTTGTGACAGCACCTGACTCCCTTGCCCTGTGAACTTTGCACTATGTGATCAGTGTGTAGAGTCCACTTGAGAATTTTGAGCTCTAATTTGTTGCAGAAATGACATTCTCAGAGGATACCAGTCATTTTCCAGTTTGTTGTCAGGTCTGCTCTCCTCTCTTGATACTACAAGGGGCTGATCCTATACTTCTATTTCCAGGCTCTCTTGCCAACTGGGTGCTGTCAGTAGGAAGCATTGGTGGAAGATTGAGAGTGGGAGGGAGGGAGTGTCTCCAGCACCACTTTTGTGATTCTGGTCTTGCTCCTGTACTCTGTTAACACCATCTCTTGTCCTTGGTCCTCCAGCCCCAGGGATGGTGAAAGCTCCCTGCTCTTGCTAATCTTTCTGTGGCTTCACCATCCCTTGTTTGGCTTTTTGATTTTCCTAATACTTATATAACAGGTTCCCCATACCAGATATGGGTTGTGCTTTCCTGAGTGCACCCTGACTGATATATGGAAGTAGCAGAAAATGGGGGTTGGGGGAGGGAGAACATTTGAGAAATAGGCAAATTCTCTTTTTAAAAGATGTTATTTATTTATTTGAGGGGGAGTACAGAGAGAGAGGGAGAGAGAGAATCCCTAGCAGACTCTGGCGGAACACAGAGCCCGATACGGGGCTTGATCCCATGACCCTGAAATCATGACCTGAGCCGAAATCAAGAGTCAGATGCTCAATTGACTGAGCCACCCAGGTGCCCCTAGGGAAATAGGCAAATTCTACTTGACTCAGTAGGCAACCTTGAAGTCCGGGCACATGGTAATGGGGACCAGGAGGCAATGACAGCATATTTGTATCATAAGTTCTGAGCTACCCTCACTCCAATAACACTTTCCTTTGAAAGCTAATGCCCTCCAATCTGGTGGTTGTGGGAAAGTCTTATGAATAGAGAAAAGAGAAGGTTACAGAGGATAATCCATCACCTTGCACTTGAGTGACTCTGGTTGTAAGTCACAAATAAATCAGTGTTGTTGTGTAGCTGCCTGGGGTGGGAGTCAGAGGAGTTGTCTCACAACAGAAACTTCTTCATCTGGAAACAGATTGGGGACTATTTCTTTTGGCTGCATGCATAGCTGGTCTGGTTGGGCCAGTTGCTGAATTGTCATAGTGGTTGGGGCCTATTGTCAAATGTCAATATTTTCACAGTCATCCCACATTGCCAAGCTACAGCTCACCCTGGCATCTGTCCCTTGGCTCTGGGAGGACAGGCAATTCTTTCATACATAATGGGAAAAGATACAAGAGAGACTGTCTTTTTCTCTCAAAGGCTGTTCAAGTAGAAAGCCAGTGTACTCTGAATAATGCCTTTTCAAATGGAGGAAGAATTGAATTCTAGAATCGCATACTCCTGGAACAGTTGGAGATGGCAGTTTGCTGAGTATGATTTTTGCAAGAAGATTCTGTAACGAAATGTTGGCCTCAGGACACCTGGGTGGCTCAACGGTTGAGCATCTGCCTTCGGCTCAGGGTGTGATCCCAGGATCAGGGATCGAGTCCCACATCGGGCTCCCTGCGGGCAGCCTGCTTCTCCCTCTGCCTATGTCTCTGCCTCTCTCTCTGTGTGTGTCTCTCATGAATAAATAAAAATCCTTTTTTTTTAAAGAAACATTGGCCTCAAAGTCAGAAATAGTGTATTTAATCAGAATATTGCATGTTTGTATATGTGTGTATATATACTATGTATAATATAGATATATTTGTATAGGTATGTTTTCATCTTTCCAGTGTCCCTTGAACAACATGACAATTATACCATGCCTGGAAATATAGACAGAGCTAAGGCTGAGTGCAAGGTAGGTAGGAATTGCATGCATAAGGACACTCATCAGCCAAGATGTTTCCCATTCCTTTTCCTCCAGAGGTTAAACCACTCCCCCTGGAGAGCTGTGGAACAGGTGTGTGGGGTGTGGTCTAAGATGAGAGCACTTTCTGGGAAGGAATGCGTCTTTACCTTTCACACACTGAAGACACAGCTTGAGCTGGAGGTGGGGCAGGTAGAGCTTTCAGCAGAGACTAGAGGTCCCAACTATCTGCCCAGTGTGAGGAGAGGTAACCCAACACTCTCCTGGCTGCCATGGGAACCATGGAGGGCAATTAGTGGGTGATTACTCCTGGTAGAAGGTGGGCACATGTGATTTCTCCTCTAAAAGTCTTAAAGGTGCAGACATGAGCATCCCAGCCCCTCATAAAAGTGGGACATGTGTCCTTTTGTCTCTGAGTTGAAACCTCAAGCCTAACGCTTTTAATAATGCCTTATTGACTTTGATTTTATTCATCTCTTCCTATAGGAGCCTCATTCCTGCAAACCCTGGTTAAGGTAGAGATCCTTAGCTTTTGTGTTGAAAACAAATTTCCAGGGGTGCCTGAGTAGCTCAGTCAGTTAAGTGCCTGCCTTTGCCTCAGGTTATGATGCCAGGGTCCTGGGACAGAGCTCCGCGTGGGGCTCCCTGCTCAGCGGGGAGCCTGTTTCTCCCTTTCCTCCCTGCTTGTGCTCTTCTATCTTGGTCTCTCTCTCTCTCTCTCTCTCTCTCTCTCTCAAATAAACAAATAAAATCTTAAAAAAGAAAGAAAACAAATTTCCATGGTTAGAAAAATGACGGTTAAAAAGTCTGTATTTTTTAGCCTTTTTTTTTTTTTTTAGATCTAATTAGCTTTATTAAGCAATTCATGCACTGGGCAACATCCCATCTAGCCAATAGAGAGATGCTCCCTAGCTCTGATTTTCTTAAACTGCAAGTGTGATCCTTTAAAAATTGATGGCAATCGCTTCTCGGCCTTTTGGCTAAGATCAAGTGTAAAAATTGATGGCAGAAAAAGGCTTTATTGTTTACAATTCCCTTCCTTCTTCCTAAGGAGGCAGTCTCTAGTAACCAGAGGATTTTCTGTTTGTTAAGGGCAAAATCAACTTCCCTGTAACAATTGCCTCTCTAGCCCATGAGGACAGAGTTAAGTGATAGATGTGGGAATGCAAGATTAGAAATGTTGAGCAAAGGAGGCTCTACTTCAGGAACGAGACAGACATGGCTGGAGGCCCAGTGGAGGAAGCTGAGCCAAATAGGGCTGACAGATGAGGGAGGAGATCTAGACATCCACTCGGAGGGCAGCAGGCAGGGTGGTTTGGGGAGAAAAGATATGCTTAATAAGATGATTTAGAGTAAAATATGGTGCACTGGAGTATGTAAACCACAACCTGTGTTCTCTTTAGAAAATCTAGATTCTGGTAATTCTAGATTCTGAAGTGAAAAACCAATTTTTACTATTGCATAATGGAGTCTGTTTTCTTTTGGAGAGTCAATTGAAGTAGTATCTTGTTCGGAGATGAGACTCAGCCACAGGTTATATAAAAATCTTGAATATACAGTTTAAATGTTCAAAAGATACAGAAACACACAAAGTAAAAAGCGAAAATTGCACTCTCCCTATTTTGATTCAGGGTTAACCCATCCATAACTAATTGGTCTGTATCCCTCAATATTTTTCTTAAGTATTGTGGACACACACATAATTGATTAATTAATTATTTGGTTCAAAAAGAATTTGAGGTTGAAAACCATTTCCCAAAAAAAAAAAAAAAAGAAAGAAAAGAAAACCATTTCCCTTTAAAATTGTAGAAGATAGTATTCCATGGCCTGCTTTTTCTTGACCTTATTAAAAATTAATTTTTGAATAGTTAACACATGCTTCAGATATGAATTCCAAAAGATAGAAAAGCATATGAAGGTAAATGTTCTCACCATTGATACCTCCTGCTGTCTAGTTTCCTTCACTGGTAATAACAATCATCATTGGATTTTTTACGTGTCTTTTGAGATGTATTTTGTGATATCTATACATTTATAAATATATACACACATATGTTGAACCATATGAGATTATCATTTTTGAAGTTAAAAACCCAGCAATTTCATGGTTCAACATAACATATATGTATATATGAATATAATAAAGATTTCATTTATTTATTCATGAGAGACACAGAAAGAGAGAGGCAGAGACATAGGCAGAGGGAGAAGCAGGCTCCCTGTGGGGATCCCGATGTGGGACTCAATCCCAGGGCCCTGGGATCATGCCCTGAACCAAAGGCAGACACTCAACCACTGAGCCACCCAGGGGCCCCATGAATACAATTTTTTAAAGAAAATTTTATCTATTGAGAGAGAGAGCTCGAGAGAGAGCATGAGCAGGGGAAGGGCAGAGGGAGAGAGAGAAGCAGATTCCCTGCTGAGCACAGAGCCTGACTTGGGGCTCAACCCCAGGACCCAAGACCATTATCTAGCTGAAGGCAGATGCTTAACAGACTGAGCTACCCAGATGCCCCACAAATATAATTTTTAATTGCACTAAAGGTAGTATGCTGTATACATTGTAGCATACTTTGATATCTCACTCAACAAGAAGTCTTGAGATCTTCCCTTATTCATATGCAGAGAGCTGCCTCATTCTTTTTAAACTTTTGTGCTACTATTTTCACAGTAAACCATTATTATTTTAAAACTTAAATTCAGTAAAATTGAATTTTACTTTTGGTATGAAGTTCCCTGAGTTTTAACATATGTGTAAATAGATCTGTATACTCACCACCACAACCAGGAAACAAGTATTTCAAGCATATCCATGTACTAACAGCAAAGACAGAGCACTACCCTCAGGTACCCTAGGATCTTTCCTCAATTTTCCCTCCTTGTTGCATTGCCTTTTCTATACCCCAAGACAATATTTTCCTTGATTTCCAATGCCATTTAGTTTTGCCTGCATGAAATCACATAGTATACATTCTTTTATTTACCTTCTTTTGCTCAACATTATATAAAATTCATTCATGTTGCCATGTGATTACTACAGAGCAATGCATTGCACAAGATTCATCATATTAGGCATTTTCTGACAAGCAGAATTATGAAAAAACATTTATATAGATTGATAAATTCAACTTTGTTAATTGTAATGGTTTCTGGGTTTGTGTTATGCTTAGAAAGGCATTTACCACTCCAAGATTATAGAATAACAGTCCTGTATTTTTTTCTAGTGCTTTAATAATCTCATTTTGTAGGTGCAAGGCACGAATCCAACTTTTTTTTTTTTCAAGATACTGACTTATTGGGGGCACCTGGGTGGCTCAATCAGTTAAGCATCTGCCTTGAGCTCAGGTCATGATGCCAGGGTCCAGAGATCGAACCCCACATTGGGCTCTCTGCTCAGTGGAGAGCCTGTTTCTTCCTCTTCTTCTGCCTGCTGCTCCCTCTGTGCTGTCTCACTCTCTGTCAAATTAATTGGTAAAATCTTTTTAAAAAGATACAGACTTTTAAAATTATTTTTATTATTATCCAACTACATTTTTAACCCTCATAGGAAATTTATGATGGATATAATTATACACCTTCATTTTGCATATGAAAAAACTGAGACACGGTGCCCGGGCCACTCAGTTGATTAAGTGTCTGTCTTGAGCTCAGGTCATAATCTCAGGGTCCTGGGATTGAGCCTCATGTAGGACTCCCTGCTCAGTGGGGAGTCTGCTTCTCTCTTACCTTCTGCCCCTCCTGCCACTCATGCTCTCTCAAATAAATAAAATAAAATATTTTTTTTAAAGAAAAAAAAAAAACCTAACCTGAAACAGAGAAGCAAAGCAACTTTTCCCCATGACAGAGTAAGACGGTGAAGCTAGGATTTGAACCCAGCCAGTTGAGTTCAATGTCTGTGCTTGCTTATTCCTCATCTTACCAACCTTTCCATATGGGAAGAATCTACCAACCATTACCTTGAATTTGAGGCAAGGGTTCTTTTTGTTTTTACTGCAATACAAACACAGTATCCAAATGTTTGCAACAGTGAATTTGTGTACTTAAGAATCTGATTGTCAAGTAGTTACTTAGTAAGGAGCAAGGAATTTGCCACTTCTCACCTTTATTCCCTCCACTGTTACTAAGAGACCTCATTCTTGAAATGATTTTTTCCCCCCAGCTCAGTGTTGGGGCTTTCTCTTTGAAAGGGTCTTCTCATTAAATTGTTGCCATCAGCTGTGTAAACAGTCCTAGGACATGTCATGCAAACAACTATAAAAGTGCTAAAGATGACACTGAACTTTTAGAAATCTAGCAGTGTGTGTCTCAGAGAAGAGAGGGAAGCGTTAAACTTCTGACAGTTGGGAGGCCAGGAGAAAGAGCAAGAAGGCCTGAGGTCATTTTCCACTTCTGTCGCTGAGATCATATGACTTTAGGAGAGTAATTTTTTTGCTCTTTTTTGTGCCTATTGTCAAAATAGTTAGGGCACTAACAATGACAATGTAATGCTTCACATCCCCCTAGTGTACTTACTTTTTGCCTACAAGAGGACTTAAATTAAAAACAAAGGTACCCTCCCCCAAAATTATTTAAGGAAAAGACTGTAGGCAAAAAAGTAGGCTAGATTCCTGAGAGAGTCACAGTCTAAGTTTAGACAAAGATATGGAGAACTTTATTTCATGGAAGTCTTTCCAACTCTTCTAGAACTGTAATCTACCTAGACACACCATGTTCTTTTGCAAAAGTAAACATTAAAAACATACTATGTTTCAAAGTGTTCT